ACAACCCCTGGAGCACAACCATGCACAACTCGAAGCCCGGTCATGCACAACCCGAAGCCCAAATGACACCCCCGGAGCCCGACCAGTTATGTAACCGGAGCCCGACCAGTTGTGTAACCAGAGCCCGACCAGTTGTGTAACCGGAGCCTGACCAGTTGTGTAACCGCAAGCCTAGCAAGTATACATCTCATCCAACCCACACTAAGCTAAACAAATAGCCCCAGAGCTCAACCAAACTATATTTCTAGCTCGACCAAACAAACACTTCCGCAAACCGCAAACCTAGCATGAACGAACCAAACAAACAATTCAAAACAAACAACATCAAAGAAACATCTGGATCACAACCATGCATGAACCGAAGCCCAACCATGCACAACCTGAAGCCCAAGTGACACCCCCGGAGCCCGACCAGTTATGTAACCGGAGCCCGACCAGTTATTTAACCGGAGCCCGACCAGTTATTTAACCGGAGCCCGACCAGTTGTGTAACCGAAGCCCTACCAGTTGTGTAACCGGACCCCGACCAGTTGTGTAACCGCAAGCCTAGCATGAACGAACCGAATAAACAACCTCTGGAGCACAACCATGTACAAACCAAAGCCCGACCAGTAATTTAACCGAAGCCCGACCATGCACAACCCGAAGCCCAAGTGACACCTCTGAAGTCTGATCAGTTATGTAACCGGAGCCCGAGCAGTTGTGTAACCGAAGCCCCACCAGCTGTGTAATAAGACCCCGACCAGTTGTGTAACTGCAAGCCTAGCAAGCAAACATCTCATCCAACCCTCACCAAGCCAAACAAACAGCCCCCAGAGCCCAACCAAACTCCCTCCCTTGCTCTACCAAAAAAACCTTCCTTAGCCCTATCTAACAACTGCCCCCCCCCACCTTGCCTTAACAACTAACTTTGGAGTCAAAGCAAACAAACAATTGAGCCCTATACAAAAAAAAGACTCCTGGAACTTTTGCAAAAATATAACAATGAAACCCTAGAAAACAAAGATGCACTCAGCCATAGCAAAGAAACAACCATGATGATCTAGCAAAGAAACAGGAGGCACTAGCACACAATCCCTGAAGCACAACCATGCACGAACCGAAGTCCGACCATGCACAACCCGAAGCCCAAGTGACACCCCCGGAGCCCGACCAGTTATGTAACCGGAGCCCGACCAGTTATGTAACCGGAGCCCGACCAGTTATATAACCGGAGCCCGACCAGTTGTGTAACCGGAGCCCGACCAGTTGTGTAACCAGACCCCGACCAGTTGTGTAACCGCAAGCCTAGCAAGTATACATCTCATCCAACCCCACCAAGCTAAACAGACCCAGAGCCCAATCAAACTCTATTCGTAGCTCGACTAAACAAAAATCTCCTTAGCCCTACCTAAAACCCTCCACTTGCCCTAGAAACCAACTATGGAGCCATAGCAAACAAAAAATTAGCTATGCACGAAAAAAAGAAACCCGGATTTCTAGCAAACATATAACCATAGAGCCCTAGCAAACAAACCTGGAGCACTAGTATACAAACAACCCCTGGAGCACAACTATGCACGAATCGAAGCCCGATCATGCACAACCCGAAACCCAAGTGACACACCCGGAGCCCGACCAGTTATTTAACCGGAGCCCGACCAGTTGTGTAACCGGAGCCCGACCAGTTGTGTAACCGGAGCCCGACCAGTTGTGTAACCGCAAGCCTAGCAAGTATACATCTCATCCAACCCCCCACTAAGCTAAAGAAATAGCCCCAGAGCAACAACCAAAGCTAAGTAAACATTCTAGCTCGACCAAACAAACACTTCCGCAAACCGCAAACCTAGCATGAACGAACCAAACAAACAATTCCTAACAAACAACAGGCAAAGAACACATCCCTGGATCACAACCATGCATGAACCGAAGCCCAACCATGCACAACCTGAAGCCCAAGTGACACCCCCGGAGCCCGACCAGTTATGTAACCGGAGCCCGACCAGTTATTTAACCGGAGCCCGACCAGTTATTTAACCGGAGCCCGACCAGTTGTGTAACCGAAGCCCTACCAGTTGTGTAACCGGACCCCGACCAGTTGTGTAACCGCAAGCCTAGCATGAACGAACCGAATAAACAACCTCTGGAGCACAACCATGTACAAACCAAAGCCCGACCAGTAATTTAACCGAAGCCCGACCATGCACAACCCGAAGCCCAAGTGACACCTCTGAGTCTGATCAGTTATGTAACCGGAGCCCGACCAGTTGTGTAACCGAAGCCCGACCAGCTGTGTAACCGGACCCCGACCAGTTGTGTAACTGCAAGCCTAGCAAGCAAACATCTCATCCAACCCACACCAAGCCAAACAAACAGCCCCCAGAGCCCAACCAAACTCCCTCCCTAGCTCTACCAAAAAACCCTTCCTTAGCCCTACCTAACAACCACACCCCCCACCTTGCCTTAACAACTAACTTTGGAGCCAAAGCAAACAAACAATTGAGCCCTATAAAAAAAGAAA